CCCAAACCGGACAGGTCAACTAACTAAACTAGTTAGCAAACCTTTTAATTGTAACTTATATTGGACAACATAGGTCCTAATTAACAATAATGTGAGAACCAATGTTGTGTGACAATGTTATCGATCAGTTCTCTTTTGGTTGAGTGAGAACCAATGTTGGTTCACTATCGTACTTTTTATATGGTTCCCGTGAAAATTATTTTGTCTATGATGGACGACGAGTGGGGGTTATGGACCATTTGGTTTACGGTTGATCGTTTTTAGTGGACAATCACGTATTGTTTCTATTAATTTTTTTAAATCAACTAAAGATTTTTATTCTAAAATTAATCTTAATTTAAACAAATACTTTATTTATATCGACTAAATATCTTATTTTAAATTTTGCTTTTTAAGAGTAAAACATCCACTGATTCTTTATCAGCTCAAAGCCTTAAACAGTAATAATTCCTCATCAGTCATTTTCTAATTGAACTTTTAAAATTACCTAATTGTAGTAAACTACTCATAAACTTTTGAACATACTTTCCTAAATAACAAAATCCAATAACACTAAACAATAATTAAATTCATACTATATGTTAAGTACCATGATTAATAAGGTTCCCATCGAAATATTTCAGTTGCTTCTATCATTTTCATCAAATTACTTTAGCCGATTAAAAATCTGAGTGGAGGGAAATATTGGAATCTAAAAGCTTAATTACAAATGTGCTTACCGACAAAATCTGAGTGGGGAAAAAATATTGGAATCTAAATTTAAAGTAATTAACTTGTGTCACTTCAACAAATGTGAAGAACATTCTATCCTCTTCGATGTTGTAATCATTTGGTTATAATTTCGATAAGAAAAATATTTAATTTTTTCATTACAAAACACAAATGGTATGTTTCACTGTACGAGAATATTATTAACGCAACTAGCTAAATCTGGTTTGCGGAAAAAATGAACCTACTGAATCTGGTAGGTATTATCAACTAAATAGCGTTGAGATGTGTCGGTAGAGTGATGATCAGATGACTTTTTTGATTTTGTAAGTTGAGAGGTCATGATCTTAGATACTTAATTTAAACCTAGTTGCTTTATAAAGTAAGATGATGAATGTTTTGCATGGAAAGATGTCAAATATAGGATAAATTCGTTTTCGAGGTGCACACTAATTGTAGTATATATATATATATATATATATATATATATATATATATATATATAACATTGAAATTGTAAAGATTGGTATCAAGTTCTTTGACTTTAATTTTGGTATCTATAATTCCATGTATCATTAACAAATTAATTAGGTTGATGACGTTTATTTGGGGGAAAAATTGGTATACGTAAATAACTTTGCATATTAAGTTTTTGATCTCTAACGTTTTTGATGCCGATGGATGTCTTAGCCAAAGATTTAGTAACCTTCGGAGATGGTGCAAACCTAGGTTTAGCGATTTTAAATGGTCTATTTCAAATTTTTACATAAACTATACATCTCAAAATGTAAAGTTATCGTACATTTTCAAATACTTATACACTTCAAAAAAAAAAGATCATGAAAAATAAAATTAACAAAACTCTTTGAACATGTTACAAAAAAGACATTTAAACATTTTCTACCAAGTCAATATATGCAACAATAATAATTAAGAAAGGATCATTAATATAAATTTGAAAAAATTAACAATACATACTTTGGTAATATGAATAGTTATCCAATGGTCATCCTAACTCTTAAGTAGTAAAAACGATTAGTCGGAGAAAGAGTCCAAATTCTTTGAATGGCAGATTATCAGCTTGTATTCAAAGTAGAATTTTAAGAGATTTGTGTAGAACTTATAAGTCAAGTGTTATTCAAACATAAATTTTAAAAAGTCTCATGAAATACACTGTTATTGATCTAATGATTTCAAAATCCACCTTAAAATCCACTATTATTGAAAATAATTTGTGGATTTGGCTTTTAATGATTTTGAAAGATTTCAGAGGATTTGAGAGGATTTCCTTAGTTAAAAATACAGAAATCTAAAATTCCATCTGTTTTTGGTAAGATTTTAAAAGATTTTACAAAAGTCATATGGACTTTCCTAAAATCATCAAAATCATTTTAAAACTCAATAAAACTCAAATCTCTTAAAATTTCATTTTGAATACACCCCTCTAAGTATATTTAGATATATTTATATTTTAAATAAAGAAATCGCGAGACAACAAATCAAACAAATTTAAGTAAATAAACTGGAAAAGACATATGATAATAGTTCATTAGAATAAAATACAAATAATGTCAAATAAAGACAGCTAATAGTGATCCCGTCTAATATGATTTGAAAGGATAAAATTCCAAAATAATATGATAGATCGAAAAGAATTGTTATTTATCAATCATCCAAATTAATCACTAAATTATGGAGTAGCATATCTGTTTACAGAAACATTAAAAATAATAAACATTTTACAAAAAAAATTATAATAAATAATTTTCAGAAATTATTTATAATGAATATTTTAAGAGCATATATAGGTCATCACAGGTAACTCATTTTCTTTATTTTTAAATTTTTCACAACCATTCATCTTTCTATGTACTTGTTTACTTATATCACTTCTTCTTCAAGAAAAGCATTAGAACATGTTGCACCAAAGTTAATCCAACTTTGAAGCTCATACAAAAAGCATTTGAACATTTTGTCAATATGCAACAATAGTAATATAAAGATCACATATATTTTGGTAATATGAATAGTTATCCTATGATCATCCTAAAATAGTAAAAACGATTCTGTGAAAGGAGAAAGAGTCCAAATTCTTTGAATGACTATTAAGCATTTCCAATAATTCCTTCAACAGAAGAAACCAAACAAATACTGGCCAATGATTGCTTCATAGTTGTTGTTACATAATGATTTGTTTGTTAAAGTTGATAATAATTAACAAATCAATGATCACACGTTACTAAAAATAAATAAAGCAAATGACCCGATGGCTCCTTTTTTTATACAAAAAAAAAAAAAAGAAACCGAATCAATTTTAAGTGGTTTTCTCGTTGACAATGACTAATAATAATTAGGAATAATAATTCTTTCTTCAAAAATAGTGAACCAAATGCCGCCATAGAAACAAAAATATTAAATAGTGTATAAACTTAATAATCAAGCTTTATTAAATTTTACTATTTACTATGAAGAAAAAAAAAAGACTAGTATTTAACCCAAAAGAAAAAACAAAATTGACACTATTACATCATATAAATTGACCTTCCGCGAACAGTTGAGATGTCAAATGAAATATTAGTTTATGTTATCTTGAACAATATTATACGATTAAAAATATATGTATATATTTATGATATTAAACATTAAATAAAATATTTTTTTGTATACAGTTAGATATAGGATATAATGTTAAAATCTGTTTTCTTTATTTTCTGATGAGGTGTTTTTTATATGTTTTCATCAATATTATAGATCTATGATATATCATATTTTAATTATATATTACTTTTATAAACTATTGAATTGTTTAATGTTGTTCATGTGGAAGGTTTGTGCCATTGTAAGTGTATTTTCATGTAAAGAAAAATTATTGTAATGAAATTGGGTTGAAATATGATGAAAAATAGTGTTTATATAGCAAACTTAATATCTTGAAACATTTTGGGTACTTAGTATATATTGTGTCATATGGATTGATGTTTTTCTAATACATAGCTGATATAAACATAATCATATATTTGGATACCAGATATCTATTTAAGTTTGTATTTATATCATAATATTATGGATTGAATATTTAATATTGCAATAATTCTATTAATACTAAAAATGAAAAAAGAAGGAACAGTTAAATGAGAAATAACTAAACGAACTTAGATTCATGGTTAGTTGGTTACCTCAATATTGTATGATGAACTCACCTATATTAAAAGCATATAATGAACAAGAATGATACTTACTCGAAACATTTGAAACAAATAAATAAGAAGCATTACTGGAGACATATCATAGAATCAGATATATAAAGATGGATCTTCTCATTGTATTCAGTCATTATTCATCGGTGAAATCTCTTCACTTATATCAAATTTTGTTCACTTTACTTCACTCTGAGAACTAGTCATTATTCCTCATAAAGTTCAATTATGAATTGCGAATGTAGGTTTACAAAAAGAAAAACAATTGTAAATGTTAATTTTGGCAACCACATTACCTATTTAGGTTTATGTTACAATCTAATCTCAATTATTACTAGTGAACAAGTTTTCTAATCAGTTGAAAGATTGAAACTTAACCAAAACATTTTACCACATTCACCATGTTTAGTCACCTATGAATTTCGTTTTGTTTTGTTTCAAAAAAATCATATAAACTCTGTATTATATAGTGAAAAAAACACATTTCTTTTATTTCTCGGAATAATGAGATATTTTTAGCAAGATAAATAAAATATCATTTTTGCTTAATCATAAAAAAGAGTAGTTAAATATTTAACTATTTAACTCGCTATCATAATGATCATGATTAAATCCTTACACCTATATCTTTGTAGTTTATCACTAACTTAAGCTTTCAAGTTTTCTAATTCATAACTAGTTCAAATTTTGAGCAACTATAAATTTTGTAATATGAAATTCGATAAAATAAACCCAAAAAAAAAGTATTGATTACGGGAGTATTTTAATTCACTTGAGCATTATATATGTGTTACTCGTATAAACTTATATTGTGTATACTAAAGTACTTTTGATCTAAATTAACATTAGTGACATTACACAAATGCATGTCACTAATTTATCAACAAAAAGATAGCAAAACATAAGTTTGGGCCTGCCTTGAATTTAATTTGAGTTATAGAAGCCCGAATTTGGGCCTTTTTATAACACTCATTCGTTGTCTATTCGAAAGTGTAATTTTGAAACTTTTGAGGGGCTCTTTGTTAATTTTCATTTTAAGCGTCTGACTCGAAATCAAATGGTATAATAGCACAAAGACGAAGTTCAAAGATTTTAGAATTCGGAAAAAAAAATTCAGAAATTTCAAGAAGTAAGAAAGAAATGAAGAGACTGATGAAAATGATAAAGCCAAAGCCTGGTCCGAAGCAACAGCTCCGAGATTGGCAGAAGAAGCTACGACATGAATGCCTTAACATCGAACGCCAAATTCGAGGTTACAACTTCTTCTTCTTTGAATCTTATTGGGTATTCTTGATTCTTCAGGAAAGTTTCGATTTTTGAAGGATTTGGTTGCTTAGTTGATGATTTAGATTGATGGGTTATGATAAAACTCCGATTTTGAGAAGTTGTTTCTTCATTGGGTTTATGATCGAGTGGCTCTTAGATTTGGATTCTGGTTGATTCTTGGGTTTTTGGATTAGGGTTTGTTTACTGAGTGGGTTTGTTTTCAGATATAGAGAGAGAAGAAAGAAAAGTGCAGAAAGATATTAAAGGCTCGGCGAAGCGGAATGATATGGTCACTGCGAAGGTAATAAAGGATGAAGCTTTATTAGCAAATCTGATCAGTTGTGAAAGATGTTGAAGTTTTGGTTGAAGTGTTTCTCTGTTTTAGTGTGTTTAAAGGCACTTGCTTGGGGAATAGTGATAAAGGATGAAATTTATCAGCAAATCTAATCAAATTGTGAAAAATGTTTAAGTTTTGGTTCAAGTGTTTCTCTGTTTAGTGTATTTAAAGGCACTTGCTTGGGGAATAGTGATAAAGGATGAAACTTTATCAACAAATCTAATCAATTGTGAAAGATGTTGAAGTTTTGGTTTAAGTGTTTCTCTGTTTTTGTGTATATAAAGGCACTTGCTTGGGGAATAGTGATAAAGGATGAAACTTTATCAACAAATCTAATCAATTGTGAAAGATGTTGAAGTTATGAGGTTTGGGTTTAAGTGCTTCTCTGTTTTTGTGTGTTTAAAGGGACTTGCGAGGGACATAGTGCGTTCTAGAAGAATAGTAAAGCGGCTATATGAAAATAAAGCTCAGCTGAGTTCGATATCAATGCACCTTGCGGAGAGTGTTGGTATTGATCAAAAGCTTTACTTGGTGGTTGACTGTTCAGTTTCATATGATGTGTTGTTATTTACATTGGTTTTCGTGTTTCAGGAACTGCAGTAACAGTTGGGAATCTTTCGAAGAGCGCTGAGGTTATGAATCTTGTTAATAATCTAATGAAAGTTCCGGATATGGCTCTGAAGATGCAGGAATTTAGCAAAGAGCTGACCAAGGTAGTACATTCATGCTTAGGAACTAAGGGCTTTTGAGTTTTCTTTGTCCTGTGTACTTTGTATGATCATATTAAAGCATATGTATCTTACAAGTTTTTTTAATATGTGGGGATCTATGTAGGCTGGGGTTATTGATGAGTTTGTGAGTGATGCGGTGGACGATGCCTTAGATTATGAGGATGTGGAAGACGAGATTGAGGAGGAGGTTGAAAAGGTCTTGACAGCCATAGCAGGAGAGACTGCAGCACAGCTCCCAGAAGCAGTTAAGAAGGAAAAGATAAATGTACCAGCTCGAAAAACGAAAATTTCACCTGAGGTAAACACTTCCACAGTTGAATGATTGCAAGATGGAATGTGTACTAAGGAGAGAGATCAAAATCTGAAAAAGAAAAGTGTAATGTATTGCAGGAAGAGTCAATTGCACAAGGAGTTGGTAATGAAGAAGAACTCGAGGAGATTGGAGCTCGGTTCGCCAAACTTAGATCTTAACTGATACATATCAAGTGTGTAGTACTCTAGTGAGTTTTCTTATAACCGTAGTTAGAATTCTTGGTCGGTCTCTAAACTCGTACAATGTGTTGAAACCAAGGGAAGATACAAGCTTTTGGTCACTGATAGTGCTACTTGTATAGTTTGAAACAGCTTTTAGTGTTTGTTAGGTTTGGTTATGTGTATAGTTTTTGGAATTGGAGAAGGAGAAACTGATTCAGTTTTGGTTCATCTTGATTTGAATTGGTCCGGTTCGATATAATTTTGTTGAAATGTGATATATTTGGTTTGTGTTGATTTGGATGTATACTAATTGCACCCTATTGTATACAGTATAATACAAATTACAGTATTACACTACAATAAAATTGAATTATTAAGGCAAAGTACAAAATTGATCGATATGCACATAAACGTGTAGTTGCGTAGAGTGTTATGTAAAATGGGCCTCATATTAAAGCCCGTTTGATGTGTAATATTACGATTGGTTAAGGTACACACTATGTCCTGAGTATAAATAGACGAGTTACACATATCTTCATAGAAAACCCTAAACATTCCTTATCTTGTTCTTCGCCATCTCAGTTCTTTTGCCACCGCACGCTTCTCTACTCTCTAGCTCCGGCCAAGCCAACAGTCAACAGGTACGTTTTGTTTACCTTTAGAGCACACATTATTCAAGTGTATAGAATAAATAAAGATTATATCAAAGTATATATATAGCTGTATAGGAGTATATATATGTGTGTTGGCTTGAGTCACGATGATACATCAAGTGAATTGGATGATGATGATGAAGTGTGTTTGACCTACTTCTTTTTATATGGATAATAAGACCAAAATTTATACTTCTTTCTTGCACTAAAAGTTATCCAATAAACACAACGTAAAAAAATAAAAGAAAGAGAGTATTGAGTCAAATAAATAATACTAGGGCGAAGAAGGAAATATAAATAAATTGTGTTGCTTTTGTTAAATAAAACAAAGACGAGAGATAATTTTGTGATTTTCCCTATTGTTTTCTCATTATAAATCTGATAGGAAAAGGAAACCCAAAAAATATAAAACCCTCAATACATTCTTCTTGAGAAGGATTCTTTTTTGTTGCTTCTATCAGATTCTTTATCTTTAACGATCTCAAAATTTCTCTCTTTTGTTTTGTGGTTTTTATTGGATAGTACTTACAACGATGGCTTCGATTCCGGTGTGGTCTAGGCACGATGACAAGCGATTTGAGTTAGCTCTGAAGCACTTCTCGCAGGGTTCGCAGGATTCGCAGGAATTATTGAAGAAGATAGCCCTGCATATTGAGAAACCTTACGAGGAGGTGAAGGAGTACTACTTAGCGTTGGTCTACGATGTTGGACTGATCGAATCAGGTAGGATTGCTATACCTAAGTACGACGAAGACTATTACGTGCCACTGAAGGAAGCGACTGAGTCCAAAAGCCAGGTCATTGAAAAAGCCAAGGGAACTCCTTGGTCAGCAGAGGAACATAGGTAAATTATTAGTCTATGAATAGAGATTTTTCTTGGATTAAAGTCTCCATATTTAAAACTTGCTAGTGACGTATCTTGCTAGGGATTATAAATTTAGGGTTTTTAGTTAGTATTGTTGACTAGGGTTTGTTTAGAACTTGCTATAGTATGGTTGATGATTTAGGGTTTTATGTTTGTTAGGGTAAACGATGTAGAGTCATAGTTTTAATCTTTCGTTAGGTTTAGGCCAAAGCGTATATATAATGATTAATTGTTAGTTTGATCTTAATTATGGACTTTTGGTTGATTAATGATATTTTTTTCAGTCGGTTTCTGGATGGACTAAAGAAGTATGGGAAAGGAGATTGGAAGAACATAGCAAGGGAATGTGTGAAGTCAAGGAGCCCGACGCAAGTGGCAAGCCATGCTCAGAAGTATTTCTTAAGGCAAAGTTCTGACAGTAAGAAAGGGAAACGCTCCAGTATCCATGACATGACTCTAGGACATACGGACAACGTGACCGACCCAACTGGATCCAACATGAGTTCTATGGACCAGCAGCCACATTCTGTTGACCAACCTCCTCTGGATCAGTATTACACAGCAGCCTTTTTGATGATTAATTGATTATGATTTGTGTTTAGCTGTATTATTAAAGGCTTGGGAGATTTGTTTGGTTTATAGGAGGGTTTTTGAGTTTTGGTTTCTACTTTCTAGTGTAGAGTTTAGTTTTATAAGAAACTTGAATGACAATTTGATTTATAGTTGATGGGTGTTTAGCTATATAAGACAGGTTTGAACAAACTATAAAATGTTAGTTGATGTTATAATGAAGAAGAACTCGAGGAGATTAGAGCTCGGTTCGCCAAAGTTAGATCTTAATTCATGTATATCAAGTGTGTGTACTGTGGTGAGTTTTCTTATAACCGCGGTTTCTATCTCTGAAGAGGTGTTGAAAACAGGGGAAGATATAAGCTTTTTTTGGTCAGTGATAGTGTTACTTGTATAGTTTGATAGAAATGTTAGCTTTAGTGTTTGTTAGGGAGGTTTTGGTTATGTGTAAAGTTTTTGGATTTGGAGAAGGAGAGAAACCAATTCAGTTTTGGTTCATCTTGATTTGCTTTTGTCCGGTTCGATATAATTTTGTTGAAATTTGATATATTTGGTTTGTCTTGATTTGGATGTATACTCATTGCACTTTATTTATCAAACAAATGACACTTTATACATAATGTACGTACACACTAAAAGAAATTTTTAAGGCAAATTAAAATTGATCAATATGCACATAACATGTGTAGTTGCGTAGAGTGTTATGTAAAATAGTGTCTTAAAACTTAAGACGGCACTTCCTCATTGAAGTGTCATGTTTTTGATGAGATCTAAATATTAAATTATTCATCTTTTGGTTTAGATTTTTTTTCATAAAGTGTATAATAATATCACAGATATGGATGACATGAATGTGGACATACATACACACTTAGTTGCATAGAATATATGTGAATTGAATTTGTTGAAGACAAAAGTTTCGTCATGTTGTCATGTTTTCTGTTGATGTCTCTAAATTTTATAAAGTTCTTTAGTATGCGCAAATTGTGCATAAAGCTAGCAAAGGCGTTACATTGATGATGATAAAAAGGAAGAAAATGACGTTACATCAAATACATATAAAACTTATTTTATAGATTTACCGAAACTTATTTGGAAGTGTCGTTTTCGTGTGTTTATTCCAAATTTCATAACACTAATTATTATTAGAAACTAGTTAGTTTTCAAACGTAAACAACTTCCATCGTTTTCACATAATTATAGTCATCAACCTAATCCTACTTAATTTTTACTGTTCTGAATTCCAATTATTGGAAAAATGCCATTTAAGTATACTACTTTAATATGTTTTCGGTTATTAAAAAAAACATATATAATAGATATATACATTCTTTTAATAGATTTCTTTAGGTATGATTGCCCTACCACTTTTTACGCGTTGAAAATAAATGATTATATTAACTTTTTACATTCACGGTATATATCAAGTTTTCAAGTTTAAGAAAATACCTATTTAGCTAGGTATTTACCGTGTTAAAATTAAAAGTAAAAAAAAAACGTGGTTAATCTACTAAAACTATTTTTTTGAATTAGTGTTCTATAATTTTTTTTTTATTTTAGTACTTTATGCTTGTAATTATTCTGTTATTCGGCTATTTAAGCTCCGAATGGTAACTGCATTTTTTACTGTGGAAGAAGTACGGTGCGGTTCAAATAATAACAAAAATACATAGATATATATGTATATACATATGTTTTGACACTGTTGCAGTGTGGTTTTGTAGTGCACTATGATTATCATTCGGAACCTTATTCATTCGATATACCAATCAAGCTATAAACCTACTTTTTAGAATCCAAATAATCCTTTCTAATTAAATTTGTTAATTTTTTGTATATAATTATAGGATGGAATGAAAACCAAGAGTGAAGCAACAACACTTGGGTCGGTCAAGAAAGAAACATAAGACGCATGTATTACATTATTTGAAGATAAGTGTTTACATCATCTTTATTCACTTTCAGTTTTGTGTGAATTATAAGACACACCTTTAACAAAAAACTAGCATCAAAAAAAGAATCTGGAAGAAAATAATAAATATTGGTTAATTAAAATGTCGTGGCAATAAAATTTAAGGAATCTCGTAACGTTTTTATTACGTGATAAAATTTTGGTTTGTCTCAAAAAAATTAATTTAAATTATATAATTTGCTTGGAAAAAAATGAGAAGTATTATTAATACCTCTAAAAAGACCAAAAAGGTTTTAATGCCTTGCACGCAACAAATTATGAGATTGATAATCTGAGATACCGACTTTATTATATTAAGTCTTTCGATGTATTTTCTTGAAAATGGAATAAAAAATAAAGGATTTATATTATTTACTTACACAGTTTGTTTTTATTTTCTAGTCATCAACATGACGTATATTATTGTTTCATTGGATTGAATGATTGATAATTACTAGATAAGAAAAAATATAAAAAACAGAAGCCAAAGGATATGATAATGTCATACGATTAAGCAAGAGAAACTGATAGCTACATCACAAGTTTTTTCATTCATTTTCTTATCTTGTTTCTTTTTGAAACGTGACAAGTAAGGTAGTAGTAGCAAAGCTTGAGTGTGAGAAAGATTCCTTGAAAAAAACAATGCTGAAGTTGTGGCCATATGTAACACTAGTCGATGAAGATGAGACGATGATTGTCATCAATTTTGTTTGTATTTTTCCCATAATATGATTCATGACGATATGCATGTAAAACAATTGACAAAGAAGATTTCAAGAAGAGCTATAGCTAGCACTAGTGTTCTTGAAATAAGATATATGACCTATTATCGAGTTTTTAAAAAATCTTTTTTACCTACGAATATCGGACTTGCACAATAATTTTCTAACAAAATTGTATATATACAAATGTTTAATCGCATATTATATATATAATATATAAGAATGCGAATTATTACTAGTTTAGTTAATTATTTGAGCATATATATATATATATGCATGTAATTTTTTCGAATATAACGAAAAACATGTATTTCAAACTGAAATAATCATGTATTTTTAAGTATATATAACTGATCAAATATGATCAATACAAATAAGTTTTTATGACGATTTTTTCTCAAACGGAATAACAAATCTAACCAAGAAAAGAGGGACTTTACGAAGATGGTGAAAAGAACACCATGCATGGTGCTGTCGTCGAGAATTTTGGTCATGACAATACATAATGCATGTGTGTTTTCTTTTATTTGTTCACTTACATGTGTTTGATTATTTTATGTTAAGTGATGTTTTGGGTAAGATACATTTCTATATCATTGTTTTCAAAGTTAGATCATGATTTCATATTCGCGGTCTACAAGTATTTAATGTTCTCCATGGACCATGCTATAGACAAATCAACACTGAACAGTCAATTATGACGTATATATAATATGTTCAAAACTATATTATTTTTGTTTTTGTTATTACTTAGAAGTTAGAGCGTTGAACCATATGTATTATTCTAAAGTTATTAAACTGAAATCAAATCATACAACGAAATTATTCTCTATTATTTTAGACATATTTAATATTTCATGCCTTAAAAAAAGAAATACTGTTTAATATTTCTGTTTTAAAAATGCCATTGGTTTGACTCATTCAACTTTGTTTCGATTTCATATTTAAGATGAGTAGAAGAAGTTAATTACTAGCTAGAGAAAGAGTATCGTTTAATACTATTGGTCAATGGTCACTTTCATTGTAAATTTGCTAGAATTTACTACCAAGAACGATCATCACATCACTTTGTCTCTATTTTGTCGCCTTTTCCGAATTTAAGAGTTGTTCTTTCTATTTCTCAAAAGGATTCATCTATATATACTCCAATAAGTGATGAGTTAACCATCGGTTAATTTGATTATGAAAGTTTCAATGGATGTAACAGTAAATGCAAACTAATGTCGGCAGTTAGTTCATCTATTTTTATAGTGGATAATAAGCCGTTATAGATCTCTCGCAAGTTCAATATTAAAGCGGATTTGTTAACGTGTAAAGTGCATGTTAAACCGCTAATCTATTTTTATGTAAACAATATTCCTATTTCGTGGTTCTTCTAAATATTATTATTGATATTGATAAAAAGAAAATAGTGTAAAAATAGTTTGCAATTAAATTCGCAATGATTTCTGATCTCTTTTGTTTTGAACAATCGTCTTTTTTTCAGTAATCATTAGAAACAAAGTTCATACAAGCCATAAGAGCAAAGGAGCAAAAGTAATGAAGCTTAACACAACTTAAAACTGTATAAACAAGAAAAAAAAAATAGATGCGATTATTTTTTCTATTTTGTTTAATATGCACATATTAGAAACTAAAGTTTATAAATGATAAAAAAAAGAAATGATATAACCCATGCATAAACATTTTTATCAGCTCAAACCATTGTAACCATTCGAACCAAAATTTGTAATAGTAAGAATGCACTATTTCAATACTTGTATCAAAGCGTTATTCCCATCTATCTTTTACTATTTCCTTTCACAAAGCGACATCGCTTTTAACTATTCTACTATTGTTTTTTTTTTTTGTAAATTATTCTACTATTGCTTATAGTTTCTCTTATCCACTAAAAAGAATAAGAATATCGCTTTTTATTATTACTGGAACTCTCAATATTTGCATATTCTTGGACTATAGTACATACAACAATGATGAACTTGATATCAAAAGACAAAACACAACAATGATGAACATATAATTTTATGGAAGGAAAGAATCTCACCGTAATTTGATGAAATATCATAAGCTTAAAAATAAAAAACAAGAAATTTGGATTGTTTTATACAAATGATTACATATTAAATTACACCATCACATGTTAAGATTCCGCCTAATTTACATATTTTTCGTAAGTACTCCAAACAAACACACAACATTAATCACTTGTTAACAAAAACATTAACACCCATGCGTTAATCACACTTTGGTTGGTGATACACGCCAAACTCATATAATACAACCTATTAAGGGGTGCATTGTGATTTGTCCTAAAGGATTCTTCAAACAACCTAAAGATATAACACAATTTTATACGCAAAGATTTCGAATTAAAGCAAAGGATTTGGACAGTTTGTAAGCAAAAGCAAAACGAAATAGCTTACGTTCACACAATTTTTACACACTTGTCTTTGTCTTTTGTTCAAAGCGAATTAATTGCAATTGCGAAAATTTATGTACATAAGAATAAAAAAACACTAAAGATCCTAATATTTCGGTAGGTACGTGTATCTATCTTAATTTAATTTTTGGTGTCTAGATTTTTCTAAAAAACCCGAAAAGAGCAATGATATATATATACACACTTTTCTACGAAAGAACAAGTGGGGTTTATATATCACACACAGCAAGAAAGCTTTCAAAAAAAGAGGAAACAAAAAGAATTGATTGGTTACAAATTGAAAGTAAAAGGTTGATTTGCTATTTAAAATGATCTAAAGGGAACAATTTGGAGAAAAAGACATTGTGATGATATTTTGGATAATAAGTGGTTGTGTTTTAGTCTTGCATAAATTTTTAAAGTAATGTGTCACCCGGAAAAGGATTTTGAAATCGATGGCATGCTAAAAAAATCATGCATGAAAATGAATTTCGATATTTATGTAAATTATGTATTACGTTTTTTTCCAAATTTTAATGGTATTACTTATATAAAAAAGTAGTTATATGTTCTAAGTTAAAATTAATTACCATTGTTTATTAATTAGCAATCGTCGCTTGTAGTATATTAAAAAAATATATATATTAACTAAGAATATAATAGTCTTTAAAAAAGTTGATTATTGTTTGTTATAAAAAAATAATTCGGTTTAACCTGTTTGTTTTTAAAATTAAAATTTTGAATAGCTACAACGATTAAGACGAATTTTTATTTACTACTAATAAATTATAAATTGTAGTGGTACGAACCAAATAAAACAAAAAAATAGTCACTATAAATTATTTTATGTTGCAAAAATAAAGTAAAATTTAATATGATACATTAGTATGCTTTATCCGCAATATCGATTCAAAGCCTAAAAATCAATGAAACCTCCAAATATAAGAGTTGGAAAAATGTGAAGATGATTTCATTGATTTCAGCAAAACCGTTACCTTTTTCGAGGTGGCAAACAAAAAAAAGGAAAAATTGACAATTTTCATAAGCAAAATTTGTAAATAAAATAAAATATTTTTAGAAAACTATATCACTTATTTTATTTATCAAATAAATAAAATCTAAAACATTAAAAACCAAAATTTCATCCACGATTTTGTGTAAGTTAAGTAGTAACCAAAACAAACCAACTATATAAATACATCTTCGTCTCCTTTCTCTTCTCTTCAATCTCCATAAAAAAAAAAACTCAATTCTCTCCAAAAATGGACTCTAAAACAACTTTTCTCACATTCCTCCTCTGTATTTTCATTTTCTTACATTTCTCACCCTCAAGTTCTAAATCTCTTAAAGAAAAGCCCTTATCTTTCTCACCGTCGGCGAGTTTGCCGACCCTCACGGCGGAGAGACTTATCAAAGGTTTCAATCTTTTGCCTACACGTGACGTCAATGTCATCGACGTGGATAGCTCTGAGGCTCCGAGACTAGTAGAGAGAGAATTCGATTTCTCGGCCGAGGTTGACCGTCGTGGCTCCGGTGGTTCACCGTCGGTTCAAGAGTTTGGTCACCATGCTGGTTACTACAAACTCCCTAATTCAAAAGCAGCCAGGTAACTTCCATTTTAACTCTACCGATATTAAACCGTTTTTCTTAACCGTTCTAAACCGGCTTCCTAATTCTCATTTTTTTCACAATAACACTAACCAATTCGGTTTAATTTAGCTTTGTAAACCGGTTACATTTTAGGTTTTTTTCTCTCTAATTTTCAAAATTTTCACAATTAATAAACCGATCCGGTGAAATTTAGGTTTGTTTTTCCTCTTCACAGTTCTAAACCGGCTTCGTAATTCTCAAAATTTTCACAATAATATAAACCAATCCGGTTTATTTAAGGCTTTTAAATCATAATTGGTCTATTTGGTTTGGTTCTAATGCGGTTCACATTAAACTTTTAAGTTTAAATCAACCAGCTTTTAAAGTCACAATATCCCAATTTGGTTTAGTATTTGTTTCTATTAACCGTTCTACAATTTTAACAAAACTTTTAAAATCCAACAACCGGGTCAAACCACCAAATTAAAGAGGTTAGAACCGTATTGGTTTACTTCGGTATTAATACTTAACCGGGTTATTCTCGATTTCTTGACAGGATGTTTTACTTCTTCTTCGAGTCAAGAACCAACAAAGCCGATCCAGTGGTGATTTGGTTAACCGGAGGACCTGGTTGCAGCAGTGAACTAGCTCTGTTCTATGAGAATGGACCGTTCACTGTCTCTAACAACTCATCTCTTTCTTGGAACGAGTTTGGTTGGGACAAGGTTGGTTAGAAAAAAAATGGTCAAACCAAAACACGTTTTCTCATAATCCCAACAAGAAACACAAATTAATCTCAACCACTTTTTTAATTTAATTTGTTTTAATAAATTATTATAGGCATCGAATCTAATCTACGTGGACCAACCGGTGGGAACTGGTTTCAGTTACACATCGGACCAAAGTGATCTTCGACACGACGAGGATGGTGTCAGTAATGATCTTTACGACTTCTTACAGGTTCGGTCTTTAATTACTTTCCTCTGTTTTCAATCACATTAAAATCATGTTCTTGAATCTTGAAGCTTTACATGACACACGATTTATTTGCAGGCGTTCTTTAAAGAGCATCCTCAATTTGTGAAGAATGACTTTTACATTACTGGTGAATCCTACGCCGGACATTATATTCCGGCATTGGCTTCACGAGTTCACCGTGGAAACAAGAACAAAGAAGGAACTCACATTAACCTCAAGGTAACAGAACAAAACTCTACATTGATTGTTTTTATCCACTCTTTGTGTGTTTTGGCTTTAACTAAACCTTGTTTACACATCAGGGTTTTGCAATTGGTAATGGTTTAACCAACCCGGAGATTCAATACGGTGCGTATGCGGATTACGCGCTAGACATGAAGTTGATTACACAGTCTGATCATGATAGCCTCAACCGTAACTACGCAACTTGTCAACAGTCTATCAAAGAATGCAGTAATATAACAATCTCCGAGCCTTTCTTTCTTTCAAGAATAACAATAAAATGTTTGTGATTCTCATGAATTATGTTTGTTTAGGTGCGGATGGTGGTGAAGGTGATGCTTGTGCTTCTTCTTACGTTGTCTGCAACAACATTTTCCAAAAGATCATGGATATCGCGGGAAATGTTAACGTAAGCATCAAAGCTGGAGTTGAATGAATTTGTTATTGGAATAATAGGAACTAACAAGATTTTTCCTCTGTTTTGAAGTATTATGACGTGAGGAAACAATGTGAAGGAAGCTTGTGCTATGATTTCTCGAACATGGAGACGTTCTTGAACCAGAAGTCGGTACGGAAGGCATTAGGTGTGGGCGATATCGAGTTTGTGTCTTGCAGTACAGCGGTTTACGATGCGATGCAGATGGACTGGATGCGTAATCTTGAGGTTGGGATTCCAGCTCTTCTTCAAGATGGAATTAAGCTCCTTGTTTACGCAGGAGAATACGATCTTATTTGCAATTGGCTCGGTAAGTTCCGCTGCTATGTCCATGTGTTTGCCGCAAACTGGTTTACATTTCCGCATAACAGTTTAAGCTCTGAACTTGATTGAATATGATTTTCTTGGTTTATAGGAAATTCAAAGTGGGTTCACCAGATGGAATGGTCAGGCCAGAAAGAGTTTGTAGCAGCCCCGACAGTTCCATTCCTCGTTGACGATAAAGAAGCCGGTCAAATGAAGAACCACGGTTCACTCACTTTCCTCAAGGTAAACCTAACAAAAACCCGATAACTCGAACTTCTTCCAATCGATTTTTACACCTAACTATCGAAATTGGGAAAACGTTTTATAGGTTCACGATGCTGGACACATGGTTCCAATGGATCAGCCGAAGGCAGCATTGCATATGCTTCAGAACTGGATGCAAGGAAAGCTCGGTACACCTACCGGTCGGACTGCTCATCAGTGAATCTAAATTCTGAACCCATTGAATTATTATGTATTTAGGAGATCAATATTTTCACTTTTAAGAAAACTAAATAACATATATACTTGTGAATTATTTCTATAAATACACCGGAAAGTTCAGTGTTAAATCTATTTCAGTTTGTTAGCTTCTTAAAGATTTCTCAATTCATACATGGATCAATACTTGGCTCATCCTACGATAGTACAAATGAAACACACCATAAACTTAAGCATGGAGTAAATTTAAGACACAATGTAAGTAAAAGTTAAACTGAATGCAGAAACTAAAAAGTCTAAATGGTTAGACATGATTTTTATAGAGTATAAGTACTTGAAGTCATCGAGCACTCTATAAGCTATATATGTGACAAAGATTTTACTATCCCAAGTTATACAGACTTGAATCTCCCAAGTTATACAGACTTGAATCTAAGATTCCATAACAGCTAGAGAATAGGACAGAGAAAGTAAAGCTTGTGGATTTAACGATGACCCTCGAAAGAACGATCACGGTAATCATCATCATCATCATCGTCAATAATAAGTGTAACACCATTGTTTTTAAGGGAGTTAATAACAGCCCATACCTTGGTTCGACTCTTAAACCCTTTCTTTTCGATTTCTTTCTTGACATCGGCATGGATACCTCTTCCTTGCCCATCTTGAAGCCCTTCCACTTTCAGCCTCATAGCCAAAACCTCTCCTACAATAGCCGCTGCCTTGGCATTGCAAGTACGGCCACACTCTAGCGAGTTCTTGATTGCGTGCTCCACCGTTGAAGCTGTTGTCACTATTCTCCCGTTGTTTCTGTCCACTACGTTTGCTGTTATGTACTTGATCGACATGAACAGTCTTAAGACGTACCTTTTCAGAACTGTCATTGCTACTACAAAAACTTGTTTGATCTGAATACATACACACAAAAAAAAACCTCAGAACATTGTCACCATAAGAAACAAAAACAAAAACTAAAACGAAACAAGAGAATAGATTTGTACTAAAAGTGAAGCTACTCATATCAATTTCTTAATCAATTTCCATTATAGACTCTTTAACAAAAATCTCAATAGTTAGATTAGTCCAGATAAGTCAGAACTTACTAAATACTGGGCACGTTAGTTAAATAAAAGAATAATATGGGCAGAACCCGAAGCTGCAATCTAGCTTTGGTAATGAACCAGATGATGCAAGAAGAAAACATTTGGGTATTTTAAGGTTCAATGTTAGGCTCACATGAAACTCAGATCAAATTGAATTGAACATTTTGAAACCAACAAAACGTATCAAAGGCTCTTAATTTGCGTTGTTCCCACATTAAAAAATCGTCATATGATTGATGCATCCCAAAACACAGTGTTCAAATCACAATTAACTCTGTCTGGCAAATGATCAAACACCTTGCGTGCATATACAAACTCTGAAAATACGGAACAAGAACAACCAATCAAACAGAAGTTTTTTACTAACCTTGTAAGCTAAGAAAACATTACTGTCGGAGAATATCCCAACTGTCTCAGACAATCATAGCGGATTTAGTCAGAACCGAGAACCTGAAGAAGAAGATGGACAAAAAGATCAAAGGCACAAAACCTCATTTGTCACTTCCATGTTTTTTTTTTTCGTTTCTATATCTGATCCGACCCTAATTAGTGAAATTGGGCCTTTTACTTGTTGAAACCCAATTTAAAGAAGCCCATAAAGTATCTTTAACCCAAAACCAAAAAAAAAAAAAGAACAACCGGAATCTTACAACTGATCCAAATTATTAGCAAGTTAATTGCAATAAGTTCAGGTAATTATTACTCAATTTTTCAACATTAATCTAAAATGAAGAATTTTACACATTTTTGGTTTTTTTTTTTTTTTTTTTTTTTAAATTTTGAATGGCTATGGAAATAAGTCAATAACATAGGGTATATATGTATATATATACTTGTATAGATATGTATCTCTGCTATTGCCAAAAGGCATGGTACAACAAGTTATATGACTCTTAAGAGATATGGGAACTATCAAGACTCAAAGAGGAAGTGTGGTTAGTAGTGATATACTTTGTTATGTACAATAAGTGGGAAAAAAGAAACCGAAGAATGACTAAAAGGCTTTAACTACCTACAAGCAGAGGAGTGAGTAGAAGACAAGAGGTATAAAGGCGTTGTCTAACTGCGCCGTGTAAGCTTCCAACATCCCAGTCGCTGTCACGGCTACCAGAAGCGACCACCATCCTTGGCTTAGTATATAACCCATTGATGCTAATACTGGAACCAGTACAAAGCAGACTGCCATCATCGATGTGATGCCCGCTGCTGTACCCTCGACTGTTTTCTCTGTTCCGCAAACATTGTTTTACGCACTTGACAATATTAGTTTCCGATGAAAGCAAATAGTTGAGATTATAGAAGGGAAAGAAAATGCTCACTTCCTGTCTTGCTCCATCTCAACACACCATACTTGTGCCCAACCATTGATGCCTGTCGAGAAAATTGTTATTATATAATTGCAGAGACTGTGGTGTTCTAAGTTAGCATCTCCTGACAATGTAAATGGGAGATAGGAGGTTACCATTGTATCTCCAATCCCGAGACTGAGAATTCCGGCAAATGGGGATAAAGCTCGGTCATTGAACCCAGAAGACATCCAAATTGGAAGCGCACACCCAAGCAAGAGTGAAAAGTGGCTACAGATAAGACTCAATATAATCAAATGATTATACATACCAAACAAAAATGTGACAATTTTACACTGCATTTTTCCATCCATGGTGTAAACAGTGTATGCATACCTGACAATCAGATGCTCTGAGTCGCGATGGTCTGTGAAAGCATTCATAAATTGATGTAAAGGCTCTCCGAGTGGCTTAATTCTCCAGATCTGGTTTGCAAAAATGAGTATCTCGCATCAAGCCCATTGAAAGTGATGAAACCGAGAAGGTGAGTTATTTGAAAAAGAAGGGGCTTACTCGAATGATCTCCAATGCAACAAATACCGCCAATGCAGCACCAAACGCTAGATCGAGAAATTTAGGCTGAATAAAAGGACATGGAAACTGTAAGAGGATACTAGAGGAGTGGATTAACACAAACGGATTTCTGAATAGTAAAATAAGTTTTTATCGATCACCAGTCACCTGTAAGACAAGAGCTGGCAAGAACATTAATACAGCCATCAGATGGTAGTACTTCCGAAGCAAGATTCTCTCAACCTTGCTACTCCTCGAGATGTTATAAAATCTTGAGACAGACACAACGATTAACAGAATCCAGTAGATACATAATGAAAGTCTCTTCTGAGGTTCAGAAAAGACAAATGTGAGCACCCTGCAATAGAATAGTATGAATATTTAGTAAAAGGATGTTAGTGTAGAAAGGATCACTCGTAGCTGAGAAGACACAAGTTAAGTAACTGATAGTAAAGACTAAGTACCATAAGAAGGGATGCTGATCGAAATTGTGTACAAACTGCATCCAAGAAGGAACAGTCACTATCATAAAAAATAGAAGTGCAACAAAGAATAAGACAGATTTTGCAGTGTCACTGCAGTTTCTTTGTCGAGCATCTCTATTTCTCAAAGTGATTTTATATATATGCATAATGAATCTAAAGACCATCGGGAAAAGTAGAAGCCCCAATAGTAGACCCTGAAAAGGAGACAGGTAAGTCTTATTCAGCAATACAGTAAAGGTTTTATGCAGTTGATTTCAATTCCTTATTATCATACCTGGACAATAATGCCGGTTTCAGTTCTCTTTATTCCATAGCTTATTGAGACAAGATCCACAGGTATCAATTTCTCGAAAATCTGTATAAAGATAAGTACAAACATGTAACAGTCGTTATACCAGAGTTACAGCGACGAAATTACTGGTTCATTCGTACATGGATAAATACAAAAATGTTTGACCAGTTCAAAGATGGGAAAAATTAACGAATTCTAACCTTGGCAATTGTGCATGCCAAAAAGTCACCAAAATAGAGGACAAGACCACTGGTCACAAGAAGTGCTTCCCCTACAAAAGTGGAGATGTCGAAGGTCAACTGGAAATTTGCGGAACCAAAAGAGTAATCTTGTAATCAAATCCATAGTTCCGTGGAGAGAAAACCATTTCATGACTACCAAATTGGCACTACAAAAAAACATACAAGTCATGGAAAGCATTGCAATTACCAATTGAAGCACAAAACGGGAAGGTGCAAAGCAAATGCCGAATTAACTCCACAGCTGCAAGGCCGTGAAACAACATCCACAACATTTTCAATGACGTATTCAAGCCTGTCGAGACAAAGAACAAACAGAGGTCAGCCCAAAGCAAAAAAAAATACAACAACCAAAAACAACGAATAAACCCCAAACTAGATCATACCAGTATGTGATATCATAGAAAGTGAAACAAAACAAGCTACTCCATACAACACCGTCCCACTTAAGCTAACCATTGTGAGCCAAACAGACGAAGATGACGAAGATTTAGCTTTTCTCGTTTGTGACATAATCACTGAAAGATATATAAGTATAGCACAACAGCTAGCTGATGCTGCCCAATACTGCATTGTCACATGCGCAAGCTCTACACAACAAACAAAATCAAAGCTACATTTGTGAAAAGGTACAAAAGAAGCAAGAACATATACAAAAGCTTTGAAAATTAAAAATACCATCTTGTTCAGCTTCATGAATTGAGATAGCTCTTGTGAGTTGAACCAACTTAGACATCATAACAGAAGGAAGTGTTACAGCTCCTAGTAATATCCCTGAAGATGCACCTCGTCTAGCAAAAACAACAACATCTTCTTCAATTCAAAATGAGACAATTCGTAGCTAATCTCGATTCTTCAAGCTCTGAGACCCAGAATTTGAAATTAGATTGAAATTTGTAGCTAATCTCACCTGGCGCTGAAACGAGAGAGGAGAAAGGGAGAGCTCTCGGCGCGGATCTCGACGAGGAAGGCGGAGAAGCAGAGGAGGAAGAGGGAGAACCCATGGGAGATAAGTGAAAAAGGGAGAGATAAGAGAATACGAGAAACCACAACTGCGACTACAACTCTCTCTCCCGTCACCAACGACGTCGTCGTCGTCTTCATCGTCGCCGGAGATGATGATTTCGCCGGTGATATGTTGTTTCAGGCGTGATCGTTACTTCGGTTGTTGTTTTTAATGGGCCGCCACCAAACGTAGACTTGTATGCATTTTGGGCCAACGAAAACACGGTTTGGCACAGACTTTAAGGTTACGCTAATTCCCACGTGGAAAAAGTCAATTTCGGTATGGTTCGATTTGGTTTGGGTTAGTTCCGGTTATTGAAATTAGATTTTTGTAGTCCGTTGAGTGAGATTTTGTGAAGATAACACAGGTAACGAAGTGACGAAGATGAGAGAGATGATAATTTCTCTCAGTTGTGAGACTTTGTGATGGAGCTCTGTCTCAAGCTTCAATCTTTTTCGTTCCCTTCTTCACTCCCAAGTAAGCTGAACAAAACCCTAATTTTAGATTTCGTTTTTGTTCTTCTTTCTCATAGAGAATTTGACGCTAATTTTGTGAAATTTTTTATGGGTTTTGACCATTTCTTTGATATTTCTGATGATGATGACTCGAGTTAGAGAATTTATGACAATCTAATATAAGTCTGAGTCTTAAATTTGTTTGATCTTCTTTAGTTTCGGTGGAGCTTGGAGTCGTTTCAAGCTTTTGTAGTTTTAGAGTTTAGAGTGTGTTCTCAAGCGATTGATATTGGTGTGATCATGGTGGAGTTTGGGTTAAACTGTATTACGAGTTAATTAAGTTTCATTAATCTGTGGATTCATTACTGAACAAGACTGTCTGATTCATATTTGCTATTTAGTTTTGAGCATTTCACTTTTTGAGGTATTGCTAACAAGCATCTGAGTTGGTATGTATATTCATAGAGCCACTTGAATTTACATTGTTAATTTTGTTTGTGGTAGGTGTTAAAGATGTGAGGTTTGTGAACGTTGATTTGAAATCCTCAAATCATAGAGCTAAGAGATCATCAATAGTGGTTTCTGCTTTAGCTGAAACAGCTGTTTCTATAGCGATTGCAGCCACGGTTGTTGGTACCGCAGCCACTATACTTGTTCGGAGAAGTTCCAAAGCCGCCGAAGAAGCCGAGGTAGTTTGTTTGTATATGATCCATGAATATAGTCTACACTGGGTTTTCTTGGTTAAACTAATATTGTACCTTGATGATCCTTGTTGGTTTTGTTTTGTGTCTCTGTGAACTGAATTACAGGCTTCTATGAAAGAATGTGAAGTTTGTCTCGGTTCAGGAATCTGTCCTGAATGCAAAGGTGAAGGATTTGTACTAAAGAAACTATCAGATGCAAGTGCTGAGAAAGCAAGACTCACAGCAACAAATATGGCCACACGATATACAGCCGGGTAATAATTTACTCCCTCGTTGTTCTTCCCTTCAATCTTAATCGATTTCCATTTATTGATTTGTCAAGAAATAACATTCTTAGGCTTCCCAAGAAATGGAGCTACTGCACTAAATGTTCTTCAACGCGATCTTGTATAGCATGTGGTGGGAGTGGAAAGACAAGCATCTAGCGCCTTACGCAGAGTACACAAGTACGTTAAACTCTTTTCTTCGGAAATCCAATTCAAAGGTTTAGCATAGCTTTCTTGTGTTGTATTATTAGTAACAGATTCTGTAATGTTTGAAAACTCTCATCAAACTTAAGTTTTACATTTGCAATCTCTACGCGTCAGACTAGTTTAGTTCCTTCTTACTCTTTCCAGATTCTCTTAATGCAATCTGTTTCTGGGACGTAAAGATGACTAAAGTCAATTGCTTCTACTTTGGTCTTTGACTCTTTGTTTATATCTCTATGACGTCTCTCCAAGGAAGAAAGACGTTCCTCATGTAGACTCTTTAAGGTATGCCTAGTTGTGCCTAAAACACTCGTCTCTTTTTCAATAATTGATGGATTCTTTAACTGAAAAGTTTGATTTTGGGAGATCTTAAAAGACATGGCTTTGAATAGAACAGAGAGAAAATTTGATGCATAAGCCTTTTTATCAAAACGACATTGTACATCATGAGCACCGGGCTCACTGAACCTTACTTATCAAGTTAGGATCTTACACGGTACATCTCATAAGAGGAACATAAAACAAGGAAATATAAAGCTAGCTTTTGAGGGTTATTTATATGTGGAAAAAGATGTAATGTGACTATCCTTTCACTAGACATGAGCTGGAGATCCAGCCTCTGGTGTTGGAATATCGGCCAACATCGCCTTACGACCTCTCTCTGACCGGCTGTTTTCAGCAAACTTGATGCTTCCCTCGTGTAGTCCTAAGCTCTTTTCTTCCTCTGTCCATTCCGCGCCATAGTAATGCTCCTCCTTTGATTTCTCTCCGTCTTGCGATGGCCTCAAGAACATGCTTCCCCACTGAGGAAAATGTATAAACGCCACGGGAAGGGAACACACGACAGCCATAACACCCATCAATGATAGTCCTTCAGCTGTAGTAAACCTCGACGAGGAGAAGAAAAGAAGTTGAGTAATTCCGGACCCGAAATTTCCACCAGCGCCAGTTAATCCCGAGATAAGTCCCAGAGAACGGCGGGAGACAAAAGGGGCAACACCAAAGAGTGCTCCACAAGCAGCTTGTGTGCCAATGGAAAAGAGCATCATGGCTAAGATAGCTATAGGAAGTGAACTAGCACGGCCGAGCCAGATGCAAAAGAGAGCTCCAACAGTTTGTAAGATCCACAAGATCCATAACCGTCCCCTCATGCCGAAGAGCCTTGCAGCTACATCTGAGGCGTAACCACCAAAGGGACGAGCAAAGAAGTTTGCCATACCAAAGCTGGCTGCTATAATACCAGCTGTGTGAAGTGTAAGGTTAAACCTATCGTAGAAGTATCCAGATATAACATTGTTAATCGTTAATTCAACTCCCATAGAGAATCCATAGAGAACGAATAAGATCCATGTTCTATAGTTCCTCACAGCAAACCAGAACACCTTTGAGAATTTGTCTTTGGAAACTTGTCCACTCTTTTGGAGGGTACTAAGGTTACCATCAGGGAGATCTTGGCCAAGAGTGAGGACAAGAATGCCCATAAGGATCTGAAGTATGCCCGGAATGAAGAAAGCGAACCTCCATGCGGTGAAGGGAGTGGCTCCGGCGAGTTTGATGACGTGAAAGACCATTGGCATGAGTAGCTGAGTCACTCCGCCTCCCATATCTCCCCACCCTCCGGCACATCCGTTAACGAGTCCTATAATCTTTCCGGTGAACATAACACTTGTCCAGTATTGGCATGACACGAACGTCGCTAAGCAAAAACCAATCATGAACCGCACGGCTAAGTAACTTCCCGCATCAGCTACAAACGACATGGAGAAAACAGCCGGAGCCGAGAGCAAAAGAGAGAAGGCAGTCCCGTAACGTGCCCCTAGTAAGTCACATACAGCCCCCATAGCGAGTCTTGAGAAAATGGCACCGGAAACAGAAGCAACCCCGGCATTTCCGATGTCAGTTTTGGTCAGGTCAAGGTTGTCACGGATGACAGGGACTAGAGGTGCAGCCGCGAAGGTGGAGATGAAGCAAGTGAAGAAAGAGATCCATCCTAAATGGAAAGCTCTCATGTGTGGTTTAGCGAATGATAATGGTTTGAACACTGTTGCCCTATGCTCCGAATCCACCGGTAAGGCAAACTTAGCCATTGTAACATCTGACCGGACGGCTCGAGAGGAGGAAGGGCCACTTTCGTCTTGTACAGAGAAGGAGAAGACTTGCTCCTTTGCTGTGACTCCATGCAAGGAAGTTCCAATAGAGCCACCTTCTTCATTAGAATGGTGGTGAGCCATTTGATCTTTTACTTCAAAGAAAATGAGAGAAAGACTTAAAACGATTGAAAAAGAAGGTTTTTGTTCTTCTTCTTCTTCTTTGTTGTTGGTGTAAGTTGGAGAAGAGAAGTTGGATAGGTATATATAGAGAAAGATTGAGAGATCTCTTGGGACATGGTCGGTAAGGTTAGGAGATGGTCCAATGATAACATTTTAATAATACTACCAAAAATATAATGTGACTATTGTTAAAAAGTTATAATTATAATGATTAAAACTTATATTTAAGTAAAACATATATGGCTTCAAAAAAAAATTATGTAGTTCACACGGTAAAGAGAATATTCTATAAGTACTAAAGCATATGCATAATGCAAATTACGTGCCTCTTTCATTATAATTTTTTGTTCTTTATTTTTGTTTATAAAATTATAAGTTTTGTTAAATATGTTAATACGTTACATTAATACGTTTTATGTATAAATATCTAATTTTGACTAACGTACGAGTTGAATAACAATAAGAAGAAGAAGAACGACGTGTCATTTTCACCGCCGGCTGTGTTACATATCGTGTATTTTTTGCAGCTAATGTACAAACTATATAATGCATGGTTTGATTATATTATGTTATACACGTATATGGTTTTTTTATTACTTTATTTTATAAGTAATTTATTGATTGGTGATTAGAGATTTGAATATATGTGAATGTGACACTTGACGTTAACTAAAGGCCAACGAGACCGTACGGTTCATTCTAGAATTTTCCTTTTAAAAAATTAATATCGGTTTGTCTTTTGTGCATTGTCCCATGTGGTCGACTCACCCAAATTAATTTCGTATTAATTAAAACATTTGTTAAATAAAGTAATCAGGTTTTGGAAATTAAAGAAAATATGTTTTCGCATGGCTAAGTTGTATATGGTTTTTTTTTTTTTTTTTTTTTTTTAATGAAGAGGTTCTGGGCTAAAGCCCATATATGTCCGCAACCAAAACATATTATATGATTTCGTCCCAAACGCTATTCGAACCGGCGATCTCTAAAGTTTTACCAGAGATATTTTGATTTCTTTTATCCAATTAATGTCCAATTTTAGTGTTTTTCAACTTTCTAATTTCTCACCTAAGATAAAACATTTTATTATGTAAATTATTAACGACAAAAAAAAGCCAATTGGCAATGAGTGGATTGGCCCTAACCCTTTATATATTACTTAAGTCCCCTCACATCTTCCGATATGGGATCTTTTCTCCACACGCCCCCTCGAGATAATGGCTCTTTTAGCCATTAATCTCGACAGAATCCATCACGCCCCCTCGAGATAATGCTCTTCTAGCTATCTCGATGGAATTGGGCCTTCTTTTGGGCCATCAATTAATGGGGTGATCGGGCCTCTATCCGGGCCGGATTAATTAATGGGTCAGCGTGTGTTCGGGCTCTGATACCATGTTAAATTAGGATTTGTTATGGGCTTCCAACTCAAAACCAATTGGCAATGAGTGGATTGGCCCTAACCCTTTATATATTACTTAAGTGCCCTCACATCTTCCGATGTGGGATCTTTTCTCCACACAAACAAATTAAACACACAACCATAACGTTTGATATGAAATATGAGCATAAATGAAAAAAAAAAAAAAACATGTACATAATAAACATGTCCAATACTGACTATGACCTTTTAATGGTTCCTACTTACTACATAAACATGTCTTAGACTGATAATGACCTTTTAATCCACAAAAGCATAGTCTGGTTCTTAGCTTTGTCCAGCCAAAGAATCACCCTTTCTTAGGGTTTCGTGGATTTAACAAGTCAGTCATAGTTAGTATCCCAAATCTTTTGTGTGTTCATGAAATTTGTGAGTTTGGTCGGGTTCTTCTAAAGACAATAAACAAATATCTATAAGGTGTTATATTTTGGGTATAATTGTGTTATCTGTTGGAAAAAGGTTGATTGATAACTCCAATACAATAGCTAGACCACTCTAGACTTTATAATATATTTCTTAATAATAATATAAGTAATCCATATGAGTTGTTGTTGGCAGATCATAATCCGCATATGCTCTTACAATGGAACGATAACGATAAGTTGACTTTCTTACATCTTCCTCAATCTCCGTACCATCTCAACCATCTTTATGTTTCTTTATTGTTACGTATAAAGTAATAAAAATATATATACAAAGTCTTCTAAGTTATTAGATCTCTGGAAAGAAAGATTATAATAATCAACAAAAATAATCATGTATTAGTAGTTTAAACTAACCAATTAATCATACTTACACATTAAATATTAACTGTAATTAAAGTTAATTATTATATATTCTCTCTGTTTCATTTTAACCGATGTTTAAGATTGTTACACACATATTAGAAAAACATATAATTTTTTGTTTCTATAAAATTATTATTAATTAAAATGATCAACCAATCAAAGAATAAAATGCAAAATATGATTGATCAAAAAGTATTAAACACATATAATTTTTATATAGAAAGTTGAAACATCACTTAAAATAAAACAATTTTTTTGGGTTAAAACATCAATTAAATTAAAACGAAAAAAGTATAAATTTTTAGTTTAAAGATTTATACTTGTGTCAGGTTTAAAGATTTAACCTTCATAATAAAGTTTCAAGATTGAAGATCCACAACGGCGCCTGAGAATCTTAAGCCATCATCATAAAATTTAGCACTACAAGTTATACAATCGGTTTTGTCATTCTCCATCTGAAAACATTATACTATAAGATAAAATTGATTGCTCTGTCTAGTTTGAAATATTTACACTTTACTTGTTTTTCTTGAAATAAATGTGAGAATATATACGTATATGCGTGTTTAAATAGTTGACTAACAAAACTTGTGATTAATTATTACGAAATCAATTTATTTTTTCTTGGATTGTTTTCTTCATTTCACAACCGTGGGCATGGGAAAAAAAGGTCCAATCTTTTATAGGTAAAGAAAAAGGAAGAAAATTCCAATAATTTGGGGAGGTCAAACAAAAAAAAACTTTTGAAAAACTTTATAGGTAAAGAAAAGAAGTAAAGGAAAAAAGCAATTTCATTAGGGATGGTCGTTGACTTGTATAGAGTTTAAGAATTTAACTCGGAAGTATATAGATACAAATTGGCAATTTGCAACGTATAAATAAAAATACAATATATCGATAATAAAACATTATTGCACAAAAAGTAGGGTCTTTCAAACATACTAATTTGTGTAAATAGAAACAAAAATAAACAACGATAGCTCGTATAAGTCAAAGAAAATGTTGTTTTCTCCTCTCTCCAGCCACGAGATCTCTAATTATACTTGTAACATACATTATAAGTTGAGATATATTTCATGAACTTTAAAGTTCATATATATATATATATGACCTTATAAAACCTAAATATATTTGAACTGTGTTTTAAAATCAAATCTGAATAATATAGTAGCAATGTAAGATATAACTTATAATACTTTTTTTTATTTACTAATTTTCACTAATTCTAATCTTCTTCTAATGCATGGTAAGAACTTAAAGTTACATACATATGGATTGCATGTGAATTTTTGAAGAAAAAAAAAATGATATAAACAAATTTGCGAAATGCATCACATAATTTGGATATTTCGATTAATCCTTTAGTAATCGATTTGGTTCGATTTGGTTTCGATTAGTTTGGACAAGAAATTTTCCAAACTTTTTGGTCGGTTATTTTAGGAACGGTTTAGAATTTTTCAGTTATATTTGAAGAAACAGAGTCTCTGAAAGATCAACAGTAGTGAAACTGAAATAGTTCAGAAGAGCAGTTAAGAAGAGACTGAAGTAGTTCAGGAGAGGCAGAGAATTCATTAGCTTCCAAGTGACAGCGTGGCATGTAGATGACAGCGCACCACATCAAGTTTGATGAGAGAAACCAGGTTTGGCGTACAGTGACATTCGCAAAGTCAAAGGGAACAAGTTGCAGCTACAGGAAAAGCTGTCAGACTAAAAGGTGTTTGGTGTTGGCTACTAGGAAGCTAGTAAAGCCAATATGATGACGTGAAGCTCCGCAGAGTCCGCTGGATAAAGAAAGGACCTGTGAAGTTTGAGTGGCTACTAGGGAGCTAGTGAAGCCAACATGATGACGTGAAGCTTCGCAGAGTCCACTGGATAAAGAAAGGAGCTGCAAAGTTTGTGTTGCCTATATAAGTGAAGTGAGTTCATTGTATTAGGGTTAGCACTTTTGAGAGAGAAAAGTGTGGGATTTCCATCAAGCACAAAAGAAATATGTGGCTTGAGTGGGTTCGCTGGTGAGTGAACAAAGGAGAGTGCATAGCTGTTGCTATGCTTGTAAGTTGGGTAGATTAGGAATAGTTCAGGGGCAAATCGCAGGTTGTGATGTTGTGTAACACTGATCAAACAAGCTTGAAATAGAGTTGTTTGAGGTATTTCTAATAAAACTCAGTTTGCAGTTATTCTACCTTATCTCTGTAGTAGTTTTCAAGGTTCCTGTTTTTACAATTGGTAGCAGAGCAGGAAACCGATCTGTGAGACTCTCTCGTCTCCAAACAGGTTAGATCCTAAGTTATGGAACCGATTACTGATGGTGTGGGTACAAGAAATAATATTGTTCTTGATACAAAGAGATATGGTTACTGGAAAGTACGAATGACACAGCTCATCAGAGGCCAAGGTGAAGATGCATGGACTGCTGTAGAAGAAGGGTGGGAATCTCCATTTGAGTTATCTGAAGATGGAGCAAAGATCCCTAAACCAAAAGCAAGATGGACTGTGGATGAGAAGAATATGTCTAAATTCAATGCAAGAGCCATGAATGCTATATTCAGTGGTGTTGATGAGGATGAGTTCAAACTTATTCAAGGATGCAAGTCAGCCAAGCAGGCCTGGGATACTCTTCAGAAGTCTCATGAAGGTACGTCAAGTGTTAAGCGTACTCGATTAGATCATTTAGCTACTCAGTTTGAATGTCTACAGATGGAACCAGATGAGACTATTGTTAAGTTTAGCTCAAAGATAAGTGCTATTGCGAATGAGGCTGAAGTCCTTGGAAAAACTTACAAAGATCAGAAGCTTGTTAAGAAGCTACTGAGGTGTCTTCCGGCTAAGTTTGCTGCTCACAAAGCTGTAATGAGAGTTGCGGGTAATACAGACTCCATGACCTTTGTTGAATTGGTTGGAATCTTAAAGTCTGAAGAAATGGAGAATGATGAAGATAAGACTAAGGTTCGAGGAAATATTGCTTTTCAGGCTGAACAAGACGTTGCCCAGTTCAAGGAAATCAAGGATACCATGGCTGTTCTGGCCAGAAACTTGAAAAAAGCTCTGAAAAGAGTGAAAAAAACTAATGGCAGAAATGACAAATGCTGGAATGGTACAGAAGAAGATAAGTCTGGTGGAAAAGGATTCAAGCTTGAAGTTGACCACACTGGAAAGAAAAGTAAGATCCAGTGTTATCAATGCGGAGGATTTGGGCATATCAAACCGGAATGTCCTGTTACAAAACGGAATGACCTTAACTGTTTGGAATGCAAAGGAATGGGTCACACCAAGTTCGAGTGCCCAAATCAGCGTAAAGAAAAAGAAAAAGCTTGTCTAAGTTTCAGTGACTCAGATACAGAAGAGGAAAAAGAAGAACTTCTAAACTTTGTTGCTTTTACAGCCCCAACTGATAAAACTGCTGATTCAGACACTGATTCAGAGAGTGGTGATGAAGTTAATACAAAAGAAGAATACAAAATTCTGTACGATAGCTGGATCCAACTGAGTAAAGATAAACTGGAGTTAACTCAACAGAAGTTGTCTTTGGAAGCTAAACTGGAAAGTTGCTATGAGAAAGGAGATCCAGAAGACGCTCTTGTGTTGTCCTCAGAACAGTCTGCTGAGCTACTGTTGAAAAAGATCAAGTCCATTCAGGATGATTACTACAAAGAAAAAGAGAAAGCTGATGCGCTTGAACAAGAGTTGAACAATAAACATAAGCAAATTAGAATGCTTAACAGTGGTTCGGGTAAGCTGGATACGATTCTGACTATGGGAAGAACAGAATCAATTCACAGAGGATTGGGTTATCAAGGTCAAGCTGGATACTCTGGTATGTCTGAAGATCTCTCTATAAAGTTTGTTAGCGGGGGTATTCTGGAAGAAAAGGATACTTCAGTGATAACTCCAAAGAACGTACCTAAACATGAAGACACCAAGCAGAAGAGAAAAGGAGAGAATGTTCATAAGAGAATTGTCAGAAGACCAAACAAAGGAAGATTCTATGGATGTGGTTATTGTGGAAGAAAGAATCATCAAAGAAAATATTGCTATAAGTTCAAGGAACGAGTCTCAGTGTTGTGGACTCTCAACAAATGCTTCTTAGAACCATCTAAGTTCGGCTGCATTTGGGTTGTTAAGAAAGATCTATATGGAGATCTGAAAAAGGAGATATCAAACCTGGAAATTAGTGACATATATAATGCAGAAGATGAAGTCTACTCACGATCTGGGATTGAAATGTCAAGAAATTTGCATGAGAAGATGACAGACTCTATCAACTTGAACTGCAATTTGATCACAACAGAGGTTGCAACAGATGACAAGCAAGCTGAAGTAGCTTACACCACTGCAGCAGCTCCTGATGATGACTCTTGGTATTTTGACAGTGGTTGTTCACGACATATGACAGGTAATCAAACTGCTCTAGATGAGTACTCTAGTGTCTCAAGTGGAAGGGTCACTTTTGGAGATGATCAGAAAGGAAGCATCAAAGGGAAAGGCGTGATTAACAAGTCAAACCAACCACAATTGGAAAATGTTTATTGTGTAGAAGGACTTAAAGCAAATCTGATCAGTATTAGTCAACTGTGTGATGATGGTCTGAAGGTTACTTTCACCAAGACTGCTTGTCATGCCCGTGATGAAAACGACAATGAGATTCTGTCAGGTATTCGTTCAGAAAATAATTGCTACATGTGGAAGAAGTCTGAATCATGCTTGTCTACAACAACGTCAAAGCTTGATTTGTGGCAAAAACGTCTTGTTCATATCAACACTCAGAGTTTAATCAAGATTGTGAATGCAGAGGTTGTTAAAAGAGTACCTAGACTCGAACGAAAATCAGATACAGTATGTGACGCCTGCAGCAAAGGGGAACAGATCAAAGTACATCATAAGAAAGTGGCTGATATAGGATCAAAAGGTTTTCTCGAATTGGTTCACATGGATCTCATGGGTCCAATGCAAATAGAGAGTTCGAATGGCAAAAGGTACATTTTTGTTCTTGTTGATGATTTCTCAACGTTTACCTTGGTTAGATTTTTAAGAAAAAAATCAGAGACTCTTGAGAGCTTCAGAATCCTAGCCCTTCAGCTACAGACAGAAAAGGGAAGCATTGTTCAAATCCGACGTGGTCATGGTGGAGAGTTTCAGAATGCGGAACTTGAAAATTTCTGCAATTCTCAAGGGATAAGGCATCAATATTCTGCCCCAAGGACTCCGCAACAAAGTGGAATTGTTAAAACGAAGAACAGAACTCTTCAAGAAATGGCTAGAGCAATGATCCATGGGAACAATGTGTTACCAAGATTTTGGGCTGAAGCGGTTAACACAGAGTTCTATATCATCAATCGTGTCTATGTTAAGTCAAGTACCTGTACTACTCCGTATGAAATCTGGAAAGAAAAGACACCAAACCTGTGTTACTTTCACACGTTTAGGTGTATCTGCTACATCTTGAACGATAAAGATCTACTTGGGAAATTTAATGCAAGAAGTGATGGAGGTATCTTTCTGGGATATGCTACCAAAAGTATGGCCTACAGGGTTTATAACAAGCGTCTCAAGAGAGTAGACGAATCTGTAAATGTTGTCCTTGATGATAAAAGTCCAGCTCATCAGTATCCAGTTGCAGAAGATGATGAAAGTCCTACTGAAACTCCTGGTCAAGAAAAACAGGAAGGAGAGCAAAACGGGGGATCTGATGAACAAGGAAACCTGGGAGGTAATCGAACAACTAGAGGTGTTCAGATAAACTTCAGAGAAACGCTTCAACAGTCATGTTTTGTATCTGTTCTGGAGCCTAAAGACGTCTTCACAGCTTTAAAGGATAAGTTTTGGTTTGCTGCGTGTCATGAAGAGTTACACCAGTTTACTAGACATGATGTGTGGAATCTTGTTCCTAAACCAGCTCATGGTAGTGTCATTGGGACGAAATGGATTTCCAAGACCAAGATTGATAAAGATGTGAACGTTATGACCAAGGAATTTGAGATGAGTTTGGTAGGAGAGATGAACTATTTTTTGGGACTTCAAATCAAGCAGGCTGAAGATGGAATCCATATCTCTCAAGGGACTTACGCCAAAAGCTTGGTTCTGAGATTTAGAATGCAGACGAGGAGTTGGTTGTACTTGACTGCAAGTAGACCTGATATGTGCTCCAGTGTGGGGGTTTGTGCGAGATATCAAGCTGATCCGAAGTTATCTCACATGAATGCAGAAAAGCGAATCATCAAATATGTGAAAGGTACATTTGACCAAGGGTTCTATGACACAAAACAAACTAACAAGAATCTTGCAAGCTTTTGTGATTCTGATTGGGCAGGAAATTTGGATGATCGGAGGAATGCTTCAGGTGGATGTGTCTTTCTGGGAAAAAATCTCATATCCTGGCACAGCAAGAAGCAGAGCTATGTAACTAGGTCTACAGCAGAGACTGAGTACATTGCATTGGAAAGTTGTTGCACAGAGTTAATGTGGATGAAACAAATGCTATCTGACTATGGTATTGTTTCCTCAACCTTACTTGTGTACTGTGACAACATGAGTGCCATTAACATTTCAAAAAATCCTGTTCAACTTTCTCGTACCAAACATATAGACATTATGCTTCAATTCGTCCGAGAACTTGTTGAAAATAAGATTATAGAAATCTCTCATGTCTCCTCAGAAAAACAACTTGTTGATATTTTCACTAAACCTTTGGAGTTAGACAGTTTTATAAATCTGCAAAAATCTATTGGTTTGCTGGATCACTAATGTTTCATGTCTCTGAGGCTCTTGCAACAGGTTCCTCTGTACAGGATTGCATAGCCTCGTGTTTTTTTTATATCTTTATCAAAACTTCTGTTTGGCAAGTCTCCTCAGGAAAACAGCTGCTTCTCATACTTCTTGTCGAAGATGTTCAATACGGGTGTGTAGTGGTTGCAAGAAAAAGAAAATCTCCAGAAAAGTGTAGGCAGGAAAGGGGTTGATATTCTTTCTTATCTTCAAGGTACATTCGTGTGTATATCAGTACCTTATCAAAAAAAACAAAAAAGAAAAAGGTTATAAAAACTAAAAAGGGAAGTTAAAGGATCCCTCTGCTTTTTGATCAAATCACCCCCCTCGCCGTGAGAGCAGCTTCTATACACCTTGAGGACAAAATCTAGAGGAGTATGATGAGTGTAGTCTAGACTAAAGAGATCAATGTGTATGTTTGTCATCTCATTGGGCTGGACAGATGATGTGTTCTGGTTACTGAACTAATAAGTGACTGTGCACCCCTGTACAAAGGAATCTCTTCCTTGAGCCTTGGAACAAGACACAGGTGTGTATCTTCTTTCCTTTAGTTGTTCTTGCTGAAGTTATATATATATATATATATAAAAAAAAAATATATATATATATATGTAAGTTGGTCTTTGAAAAATCAATCTGGATATATTGCTCTTTCTGATCTAAAACTTTTTGAGGATGTCATGATGAGATTTCACATTCTTTTTATATCACAGTTCTTAGATGTGCATGTGTATGCTCTGTCCTTTGATATGTCTGAATGTGTTGCAGTCTTAAAATGGTACTTTGTGTCTTTGGTTGTCACTTGTTGTTAATTCATGTTGTGCAATAGTTTGTTGTCTCATTTGTTTGCCAGAAGTTTGTTCACGAATTTTGGTTGTGTTTACGCATGTCTTATGATGTGATGGACTTGATGTGTGTATTAAGTGGTGCTGCAGATGTTTTGAGTTTCGTAACATGAATACCACATCTCTCTTGGTTCTCAATTGAGCAATGGATAAAGTTAATGTTAATCACAATCTGCACCATGTATCGCAACCGGCTGTTGCTGACGAGTCTTCCGCTGCCGTTACATCAGTATCATCTCTGCCGCATGCGATTCCTCCACTGATTGATAAACTGGAAGCATTCCTTCCGCTGACTTGCTCATTTGTGTCTGGAACCACCCCGACCACATCATCTTGCAAAGGTTTACAAGGTAGTCGCTCTAGTCCTTGGCTGTGTCTATCTGTTTCCTTACTGTTTTTATATGAGTCTGTGCACTCAAGCAGGGGGAGAAATTTGTGGTTGTTGTCTCTCTTAGTTCCTCTTAGTTCTAAGAATGTTTAAGTTTCAGGGTGAGTATATATGAGTATGACTTAAGTTGACGTGTTAACATGTTCTCATTAGATGTTTCAGGGTGAGTATATATGAGTATGACTTAAGTTGACGTGTTAACCTGTTCTCATTAGATGTTAAGTGTCCTAGCGAATGTGAATCAATTTGTCATGTCTCTCCTCGGTTATGTTATGATCTTATCTGGCTATGTATTGAACTTCTTATCCTTTTGGTTATTTTGAGTAAATATTCAGCATGAATATGTGTTGCCTAGTATTGCATTTTTGTCTGTTGTTGGGACTAATATTTTGCAGGAAGCTTGAGGCACACACTCAGATAAAAAGGGGGAGATTGAAGAAACAGAGTCTCTGAAAGATCAACAGTAGTGAAACTGAAATAGTTCAGAAGAGCAGTTAAGAAGAGACTGAAGTAGTTCAGGAGAGGCAGAGAATTCATTAGCTTCCAAGTGACAGCGTGGCATGTAGATGACAGCGCACCACATCAAGTTTGATGAGAGAAACCAGGTTTGGCGTACAGTGACATTCGCAAAGTCAAAGGGAACAAGTTGCAGCTACAGGAAAAGCTGTCAGACTAAAAGGTGTTTGGTGTTGGCTACTAGGAAGCTAGTAAAGCCAATATGATGACGTGAAGCTCCGCAGAGTCCGCTGGATAAAGAAAGGACCTGTGAAGTTTGAGTGGCTACTAGGGAGCTAGTGAAGCCAACATGATGACGTGAAGCTTCGCAGAGTCCACTGGATAAAGAAAGGAGCTGCAAAGTTTGTGTTGCCTATATAAGTGAAGTGAGTTCATTGTATTAGGGTTAGCACTTTTGAGAGAGAAAAGTGTGGGATTTCCATCAACCACAAAAGAAATATGTGGCTTGAGTGGGTTCGCTGGTGAGTGAACAAAGGAGAGTGCATAGCTGTTGCTATGCTTGTAAGTTGGGTAGATTAGGAATAGTTCAGGGACAAATCGCAGGTTGTGATGTTGTGTAACACTGATCAAACAATCTTGAAATAGAGTTGTTTGAGGTATTTCTAATAAAACTCAGTTTGCAGTTATTCTACCTTATCTCTGTAATAGTTTTCAAGGTTCCTGTTTTTACAATATTCAATCGAAAATTTTGTCTATTATCTTGTCTAAACAAAATAGTTGATATCACACTCAAAAATCTCTTGTACACTGGCTAAAACTCCAACGAAAACGATTAAAATGTCCAAAACTAAGTTCACATCCGACTCTTTATTGCCAAATACTGTCCACATGTACACTTTGGTGAGACATACATGCATGCATGTCGTCGTCTAAAAATGCTAAAATATTCAATGGTCAAGGCTTAATAAGTAAGTTATAAATCGTGAGCCTATACATTTTGCAAATTACACCAAATATAAATTTTTATAGGTTATATTATATTCAAAAAGAGCCGCATAGGTTACGGCAAGTTTCACGTAAGAATCAACGTTGGGTTGTTCAAAAGTTGTTGATGCTTATCGTGGTTTCTTTCTGATAGGCGTACTACCATTTTACCCATTATGATAGTTTATTTGACTTATAATATATATTACAAAAGTCGTACTTTACGACTACTAAATTTAATACCGTACAGATCACATCTTGTTTTAATATTCTTTCTAATGACGTGGAAGATGTACGGGCTTCTGACTCCGATCCTCATCATTCAACACATCTGAAATTAGTACACATCTCTTCTTCTCCTTGCCAGCTGTAACTCTACTACTTAACACCAACATTATCAAAAATATCTTATAACTAAGATTTACATAGAAAAATATTTTAAAAAGTATGTGCATTACCAATTTTTTGGACCGTTTTCCACCATTTAATTTCAAAAATAAAATAAAGTGGATGACGTTTCTTAAAACGCGATATCTTTTTATTTTGTTTCTTCATTATTCGAATGCCTTATTAATATGTGGCGGCCTGCGATTGGTTGTCTTTTCTTTTATTTTTTCTAAATCTAAAAATATTAATAAAATATTAAAATTATTATTTTTAAAGACAATTTTTGAGGAACTCCAATGCATATGGTCTTATGAGTCGAAATGATAACAACATATTTTCGGGATAAGTTTGATTTGCAATATTTTTAGACTACTAGATAAATATATTTTATATTTTAAAAAACATTTTATGCCTATATATATGTTAGTTAATTCTGCAATTTTTTTTAAAAAAAATTAATAAACAAAACATTAACAAAAAAGAAATTGGGTTGGATGATAACATATGTACGTTATTGTGGTGGGAGATGAAAAACGCTCAACTTTTGTGTTCATTCGGTTCATTATATTTTTATATAAATACTAACAAAAAACCTTGTTTATTAGTATTGTGTTTGGGGTATGATCTTTAGCAGAAGTTACTTGCTTCTTCGTAACGTACGACTTGCTTATTTTAACATAGTGAAGTATTGTATATACGTGATGAGTATTGTTTATAAACTTTGTATTCAAGTTTGTTAGTCCATCATGGGTCATGGAGGTCTAAACTAATGATCAAACACTCGTTTAAAGTTAATAAAGTCGAGAGGTTTGTTTATTTTAGGAAACAACTTGATATATATAGTGACTAGTGTTGTTTATGTATGAAAGTAACTAACCTATTTATGATTAAAAAGAAGTTTCTGCCATATTAAAACAAATTATATTTATTAATCTATAATATTAAACATCACTTAAAATATTTATTGTCAGCCAATACAATTAATAACTAACTCGTGTGAAAGTGTAAAACTTAATTTTGCTCTGCAGGTTATACACAGAGATATACATATAGGAGAACATAATTAGTAATTGTTTAGTGATTTGATGAATTTTATATCACAAATTGACATATGATTCCCAATTAAACCACTCACATGTACGTCTCTTAATTATTGAACAATATATAACTCGATTAATATATAAATCAACTCAAATGTTTATGGTTTAACAGAAATTAAAAAATATACGTTGTACTTCATATACCTACATTGATTAACTGTACACATGCATGTGTATTTAATAAAAAATTATTTTGCAGTGATTGTACTAATTCCCATTGATAGTTTACTTAGCTTATTGTATTAATGTTAATTTTACCATGATAGTTTAATACTACTAGTCACATGATTACTTTCTTCCCGGAATCTTTCACAAATTAAACAAATGATATAGAAGTAAACTGAAAAAATAATACAAAAAGTAACATAACACGAAAACGAAATATTGATGTACTATTTTTAACAAACATTTACTAATTGTCAAAATGAAAATTACCTACAGATTATATTTATATGGAAACCAGTATACACCAACTTGTTTATTATTCTATCGCGTTATGTGAATTATCAATTTTTTCATTCGTTGTTGCTATGTCGTATGCATATTTTTGACAAACATGTTTTGACTTAATATTGAAGTAGTCATCTTCTAATAATGTACTAGATAATGTCCCGCGCATATGCGCGGGTTGTTGTATATTTATTTAATTATTTTAATTTATATTACTTATAAAAAATAGATTAAATATATTTTAATGTTTATGACATTTTTATATTTTATTTATTTAAATCGTACAATAGAAGCATACATCTATATCTTTTGAATTTATTCGTTGATTAATTGTTCAATTTTGATAGTAATTTTCTTTAGTGCTTTTAAGTATTTTTTGATAAAACAATAATATTGTTAATGATAAAAATAGGAATGATATTGGGAGAATTTAAAAAATAACCTTTTAAAAATACCACTTTTTAAATTTACCCTCTTTTCAAACATTATCAAAACAACGACTAAAAATGTTAAAATTTATCCATATATGTGTGTAAACTTATAAATATACACACAAATTACCTTTATTTGTGTATAAAATTTTATTTGTTTCAGTGTCTTACAAATTGGTTTGAATATAACCAAAAATTATTTTGTTAAAATAATTACATACTTTAAAAATAAAATAAATATACATGAATTTGTGAGAAAGAAAAAAACATATAAAGTAAAACAGTGAAGTATGTGCGGGTTGTTGTATATTTATTTAATTATTTTAATTT